AGAACAGACCATCAGGTAAAAAGAAATATTTTACTAGCATTGTCCAGAATTTATGTTTAGTTGGGTTGAAATTAGAATGTGTTGAGAATATGCTCGTAAAAGGTGTAAAGAAACTTAAAGTTGAGCTTGCAAAAATGTAAATGTGTAAAAAATTTGCTCGCAAAAAAAATGAGGAGTAAAAAAATGCATGGAAATGTTTATGTTAAAAAATCGAACATATGCATGTTAAAATGAAATCATAACTATATTACATTGCAAAAATAAGTCTATATATATATACAGGTATTTACAAAATAATGTAAATAATTCGAATAACGAATTAAAAGGTGAGATAAGCTTAAAAAATTAAACTTGTGATTAAAGACTCTATGTTGAATGCTTATACGAAAAAATGAAATTGAATGTCTTTATCTATGAAATAAGAAGGAGAGATGTAATATCTTGTTTATGAAATAAAAGGATGCATATGAATATTTCGTCTATGAATGAGAGGAACGTTGTGTGCAAATATTTTGTTTGTGAAATAAAAAGGATATAAATGAATATCCTGCCTATCGATTGAAAAAAAAGTTGTGATTAAAAAAAATTGTATCCGCTGTTAAATATATAAAAAGAAAGAATTATTGAATAATTCAAAAATTCTTTAGTAAAAAAAAAGAAAGGAAAACCTATATCTATCGATTTTATATCGACTTTGTTGGCAAATATTATTTCAGGTAAATGATGAAAAACGTTCAGGGTAAATTCTTAATGTAAGTTGCATAAATACTGAAAACATAGTCGTATTAACATAATAATCTATTTTAACAAATGTTTAGCTTAGTTTCTATATTGTTTTTTAAATTCGTAAAATAAATAAAGCTTGCTATTGAAGACCAGTTCAAAGCCGAAACGAATAGTAAACTAATGACTGTAGAGATAACGAATTATCACTATAATTGAAGACGGTGATAATTTTTAATACATGCTTGAAAATTTGCCATTTCTTGTTGATTTTGCCATTAATATATATTTTTTTTTTTTAAAAAAAAAGTGCCATGTTCAGAAAAGTGGGAATATCGTAAAATTGCTTGTCGATAAATTTAGACTTCGAAATCATTGTTGGAGGTATAAAATTCGGTTAAACATAGTGTGTTCTCCGCAATATTCCAGACAATTAATCAATCATAAATAGATTAATCATCCCTCTAAGGCCACGCAAAGTTGATTTTTCGTTTTGCATTACCCGCCGTCCCATTTTTTCAATTTTTTCAATTTTTTTTT